AAGATGTCATTGCTTTTACTCTCGGTAAGGACAGAGAAGCCAGAGCAGGGCCAGAATCTGTTTGAAATTTTTGGTTATAGGCAATTTTGTTAGAGGCAAATTTTTCCTTGGGAATCGTATATTTTGGTTAGAGGCAATATCTTAAGGGTCATTATAAAAAGCGACACTGAAATTGAACAGTCGGGTAAGAGGCAACATTGTTAGAGGCAGTGAGCCACCCCCGCCCCACCAGCCCCTTCCCCCTACCTTCTTTCTGCTGGCTAGGCTAATATTGTATCTCAAAAGGCAGCGTAACCGTATATGCACTGTAAAAAATCAGTCTTGTATACGGAGCCTATCACAGCGTTCCGTACCTCACTTTTGGGAGTGATTTTCGAAAGTGGTTTGGAGATTTACCGTACCTGGCCACCGTACCAATGATTTTTACATGGGCTAGCTTAGGGACGGGGGTAGCGGAACGCAGTAACAGACTCCGTACTTAAGACGAAGACTTCCTCATCAAAATTAGCGGGACTTTTTCCGTACCGTTCCGTACCCTGGCTCCGTACCCACATTTTTTTTACATGGGCTCTGATGAAAAGAGGGTACGAAACCCAAGGTACGGAGACGCCGTAGGTTAAATAAACTGGCCATTACATGGGTACAGTATCATGTCTGCTGTCAAGATCGATTGTGACTGAAATTTTTTCTACTTCTGGAGTGCAACGCCACGGTTTCTTACACGCAAAAGAGTCATTTCGCTTTACAAAATGGTTAGGCGATTATTTTTTTGTTTCTTGTTTCTGCAAATTTTTTGCTACCAGCAGCAAAATTTATTACTGTCGCAGCAAAATAAAAGAAGTTAACAAACTTTTTGCGCTCTATATTTTGCGAGTATCTATAATGTGTTTAAAACTTACATGTTCCGTTTCTTTGGTACGCATTTTAGAGATCATGAAATCATTTACTTGCAATAATTCACGTTCGCCCTGCCAATGCCAATTCAGTGTAGGCCGTGTAGGCTCGTGTCCTGTGATTCGAGGGAACCGCGCCCACTACGGCTTACTTTGATGGAACCGACATTAAACCGGACTTGCGACGCGTTCCAGTCCAGCGGTGCCTTAACGCGGTTCTGCCGCGCGGTCGTACTTGTCAGCCACGGTAGGGCGGCAGGGCGGTGAAGGTTTAGGCTCCTACAGGTGGCCCGTCCGAGAGAAGCAGCGGCTCGTCTGTGACAAGACCCACACGGCTCAGTGGCTGACGAGACAAAGGCGACAACCGTAGACATCCATGCCGACGGAGGCGACGAAGCGGGGGAGACAGAGAGAGCAAAAGAGCGAGAGAGAAAAAAGGCGAGTGAAATGAAAAGCGAAAGGGCTGAGAGCGGAAGCGTGCGCGCTATGGCGGGAGAGAATGGGGGGGGAGCAGGGCGGGATAAGGAGGCAGCAGGGCTCCCCGCCGGGGAGTCCCCGGCCCGCGCCTCTGTCGGATGCCACCCGATCTGGGAGGGCACGCTCCCCTACGGCCGTCCGGTGTCATAGGAGTGGGGAGAGTGACTGCGGGTGGAGAGGGGCTTAAAGGAGGCCAACGGAGGAGGGGAAAGGACTCTTGGGAAGACAGAAGAGAGAGAGAGAGAGAGAGAGAGAGCGCGCCTGGTGGTACGACGTTTAGGAAAGAGCGAGGGAGGATAAAGAGACCAGGAGTCGTCTCGTCTCGCTCACGACCCCTTGCCCCAACGCCAAACCCCTTACAGTCTCGCCTCCCCGGCGTCAAGAGCCGGGGGGGGGGGGGGGGCTGGCCGGGCTGAGTGGACTGCCAAAGCAATTGAATTTGGGTCAAGAGCTATATTCCATCAGCACCGGAATCCGTGCTGTGCGAACCGCCCTGCCTCTCCACACCTGCTCCACGCTCCTCCAGCTCGCTCATTCGACCACACCTTACACGCCTCTTTCTCCCTCTCTCTCACTGTCTCTCTGTCTCTCTCTCTCTCACTACTCACTCACTCACTCACTCACTCACACACACACCCAGTGGAAAAATATCGTCGTAAATTATTTGCGATAGATTTTGCCCTTAATATTTTCGTAATATGTTGTTGATTTATGACACCCCAAACTTATTCGTCGTTGAATTCCAAGTCGATGCAAAGTGCTTGTTATTTTACAATTTTAAATTAGAATTTTACGACACGCTTCAAGGAAAATTTTCCCGTAAAAACTACAACTACAGGGTGGCCGCTCTGCGCTGTTGTTTTGAAAAGGTAGACTAGCCCGCTGACGGAGCGGGGAGGTGGGAGGGGACTCGAGAGGTAGGTGCGGGCGGGCTAGTCTACCTTTTTAAAACAACGGGGTAGAGCGGCCACCCTGTATTTTGCAGAGCAGCGTGTTCTCTCTCTTTTTCTCTCCCCTTCCCCAGTGCCTCCTACTCTGGCCCATCCACTCGTGTCTGTGCACGGCGCAGCAACGCCCGTCAAAACACTTGACGTCTTGACGTCCGCGCCCGATGCATTTTTGCGTAGCTCTGGGAACCAACCAATTCCACTTTCCTGTGCTCGCCTATCCAGCCCAGATATTTGACGTGTCTGCGCACAGTTGCAGCAGGGGAGGCCAAACACAGACACTCGCAGACACTTCAGCTCCGTCACGCGCCCACAGCTCTGTTTTGCTGCGCGACTGGAATTCATATCCCGCGTCGCTGTTCCGAAAGTTTGTCATTGGAAAGCGGCGTGGAACTCATAACTCGGCCCCCCAGTACCTCTCACAGACGGCAATAAGTAAGTTTGTGTCTGTCGCACCGTCTTTTCGTACGGCGAGAGGCGAGAGCACACGGCATTCAACCTTTCCCCACTCCCCTCCTCTTCCTAGTATTATTATATTGCAAGACAACCGGCTCGACAAGCAGAGAGCTCAGCATCAGCGTTCCGGCGCACTGTTTGCAAAAAAGCCATGGATGATGCCGGATTCGACGAAGAAGTTCTCCGAAAGCAGTTAGCAGCACAGAATCAGAAGCTCCTACTCGTCTCTCTCGGAGCTGCCCTACTGCCCCTGCTTCACTACAACGTCCCCGCTCGCGTCGTCGCGCCCCGACAAGTGTCACCGAGCCCCCTTCCCCAGCCACGCCCCGGCTTGCTTCGGCACTTCGCACAGTATGACAAGGGGTAGGATCCACTCCATTAACCTCGAGAAAGGGCCGATGGGAAGGGGCGCTGCGTGCAAACTGGCTAGTCGAGGGGCGGGGCCAGAGGGGCCAGGCAGAGGGGGAGAAAGGAATGAGGAACTGGAGAGGTCTACTCAGACCAGCAAGGAGGCTCCTGCATGCTATGGCGCGCTGGGAGTGCGAGAATAGGCGCCGGGGCGAGAGAGAGGAGTCTTCATGACATCTGATATTCACTGAACTCTCTCACAAAAGACCAGGCATTCGTTTTTTGTAATTTTCTTTACTTGGTTGCAGTGTATTTTAGTATACACATTCTGCAAACCTATCTTGACGCAAAGCTTTTCAAAACTTTTGCGTTAAACGATAAAACTTTAAGAACAAGTAAAAAATAAAATGGAAATTAACCCTTTACGGGCTAATAAGACATTTTTCGGGTTTCGGGGTTGTGTTGGAGAGGTATGGCCTCAGGAAATTGATCTAATGCCCTCTCGACGTTCTGAGACCTCTATTTCCAAAACTGTAAGCCTTCCAAGTAAACACGCCAAAAAGGCAAATCGTGAAATTTAGCGTTTTCGGATGTGACCCGAGTAAGACCCATTGGTCGATACACTTCGAAAAAAATATTCCGAGGTGCCCTAATGCTTACTGAAGCCGACTACACGCGCGATCAAGGTGTAACTCAATAGGCGCGTGAGACAAGAAAACTACTGGTCATTTATAAACGACAAAAGAGCCGTAAGAGGAGTCAAAATCTGACGATCCCTGACATGCGGACTTTTCGATCAAAATTTGTGTCATTGCGTAGGTCTCGAATCAAATGGAAGGAATATAAAAGAATAATAATCCCATTTTCGCTCTAGGGACCCGGGAAATGGGACAAGCCGTCTAGAGGGTCGCTTACTCCATTTAGCTCCTGGCCCGTTTTCGGCGTCCTAAAAATAAGTGTTTTTTGTTGTTTTTTCTTTTGCGTGTATGGCACGCTTCAATGAAAATTTTCCCTCACGACACGCAACAACTTCTATTCCTAGTGGCGAAAAAAAAGAGGGGCAGCGAGATTTTGTGCTCTACACTGAATGGTATCGTCGTGGTGCCGGGACCTGGTGTCGGCCTCATCCAGGGGGATTACCGACAGATTTCCCGTTAAACAACGAAAACAAAAATTGACGGCGCGTGCCTGTTGGGCTTTCTATCGCCAGGCGCCAGTGCGGATTAACATTATCGCGAGGGACGGACCAGGAGGGGGAGGGAGAGGTGGGGGAGGAGTTGATAATGGCTCGTGAGTG